TATTCAATTATTATTATTTATTTCATCAACAAAACATTTGTGGAAATTTGTTTTCTCTCTTGCTAATCTCCATAATACCTACATATTATCCTTAATTTTGCCTTGAGAATATCTACCTTTGCAGAAAGTTTGCCAACCCTAAGCTAGAAAATAATTTCTGACCATCAATCCAGTGCCACACTATAAACAAGCTAATAGGTTCATCCCACTAAGAGCACTTTAAAACTACATTTTTAAACTACATTTTAAAAAATAACATATTTTTACAACTACAGAGGTAATAGTGATTAATATTGATTCATAACGGGTTGTTAAAGGTAATTTCTTCATAATTTCTATATTATCCCCACGAAGATAAAAGTGATGGGGTAGGTGGATGAAATGCAGGAACGTATCATTCAATCAATTTTCAGACAATGGTAAAGGAAGTGCAATAACTACTCTCTCAACAATAATGCAAAGTGCAGTTGTTAAATACCAACAGCATTGGTCAAATACCTGTTTCTTAATTTTTTGGGGACATTTTCGAAACCCAATTCCTTTCTTCACTCAAAGGAAATAAAATCATTAGAAAGATATTCAAACAAATAAACTTTTACTTCCATAAGCTCTTCAGTAGAAAACAACAATAAAACTAAAAATACTATCCTGTTCACAAGAACCTGGGCTTGCTGGAGAGTGCTTAAAATTTTAAGGAGTTTCAAGTCATTTGTACTATGAGAATGCCTGCTCATACAATCAACAGGGAGGTGACCAGGGTCCTGAACCCCAGCTCACTTGACTCAGGGGTCACAGAGAGGCCTCTTTGCTTCTCTTCATCTCAGTCTCACACTCTCTTAAGCTCCTCTCTGTTGGTCCATCTCTCCACATGTTCCTTCTCCTTCTCTCCTCTATTTCTGTCCACCAATCCACTTCTTTAACTGGTCATAAAGTCTACTGCAGAATATCATTATATTTTCCACTCTCAATATAATGCTTAGAGTTTGATGCATAGTGGATTACTTCACTGGCCAAGATGATACAGATAGAGAAATGTTTTATTTCTAATATTGCCAAATTCTATCTAAGTAAGACAAAGTAGATGAGTCAAAGAAAGTTAAGTATATCCACATTTGTGGTGTAATTGTCTTGGGGAAGGAGAACTGCTGAGAAGTTCTCCTTACTCTGATAGACGTGACAGACACTAGCCATAGGAGGTATAAGAGGAAGGGAAGAGCCTCACCCAAAGTTGGGGCTCCTGCAGCAGACACTTGCTTGCTGGGGTGATGTTTCACATCCACCTCAACACTTTGCAACTTCCCCTTAACAATAAGCCAAATGACTTAAAAAAAAA